TATGAAATATATAATAAATATAATATGTAATATAAATATGATAAGTGGTAAATGTATCTCAAAAACTATAGGTAATAGATATGCTACATGTAATGCATCTCCCGCAGTAGTTGCTTAGCCAATCAAGTTGTATAGATTATGATAAAAAGCCAGATCTTGATTATCTTGGGATCCAGTAATTGGATTTTAGTGATTCTTAGCTCATTAGAACCGTCTCAGTGAGCTGATTCCAATGGTATATGTTTTATCCAATTCGAACCGGTGTATCGAAAGATATTAAGGAATTTGTGTTTTTCCTTATGTTTTATATGTTAACAGTATTTAATTACCCACTACTACATTATTAACATACCTAAGACCTGTATAAGGCTACTAAAATCTGCAGTAAGTTAAAATTAATTGAATCACTACAACATTTATTGTTATAAAACTCTAAAATAAAAATTAAAAATATTGTCAGTAAAACTCGACAGAAATAAGCTTGCTAAAGATGGATAACCTTATGGATAACCTTATAGATGATCCTATGAATAACCCTATAGACAACGATTATATTAATGATAGTAATGTTTACAATGTATCAGTCTCTAATAACTCAGCCTCAATATCTTTTGTGCTAATTTTTAATAAAACCACAAGCAAAACTATGAGTAAAACTATCAGCAAAAATGTAAGCAAAACTACTAGCAAAAATGTAAGCGAATCTACTAGCAAAGATATAAGCAAAACTACTAGCAAAAATGTGAGCAAAAATACTAGCACCAGCACCACCACCAATATCACTATATTATCAAAGAATACATCTATTGTTTGAGAACATTTTTCCAAATTAACTAATGAAAAAAAAGCCAAATATGAATATTGTAATCAATTATTAAGTCATAAAAAGGAAGTAGAATATCCTACTTTTGATGCCATCTTGATTCTTGTCAGAAATATCAAAATTTATTAAATGGTCAAACACAATTAATATTTAGTACTCTAATAAAAAAAAGGCTATATACAAAAGATTCAATCTGAACAGACTTAGCTGATATGATAGTCAGGGATGAATTAAGCTTTCAATTTGTTGAAAGCTGCAGTTTTCATAAACTTATCAATAGATTATTATCTGATTTTAGTATTAGTGCTAATACTATTAAGTAGGATATTATGAAATCTTATGATAAAAGAAAAGTAGTAATCAAAGAAATTCTTCAGAATGCTATAGCCAAAATCTCTCTTACTTGTGATACTTGAATATCACTTTAGCAACTTAGATACATGTTAGTTACTACTCATTTTCTTGATGAGAACTGAAAGCTTATTTCTATATTATTATTATTTTCATTAATTCACTATCTTCATACTGGAGTTAATATTGCCAATTTCATCAAAGCTGAGACAGATGATTGGTTTATTACTACTAAGGTACTTAGCAGTTTATTAGTGTTAGGTCATAATTTATTTTAGCACTATTTAAATAATTATTTTTAAATTATTTAGGCAGATTTTTTTTTTTATAATAATAAAATGTTATTTTAAGAAAAGACATTTAAAAGTTATTTTTAATTTATTATTACAGTTGCAAGCTATCACTCTTGATAATGCTTATTCACGAAAATCACTTATAGATATCAATGAAGACCTTTTTCATAACTATTGTTTTGCTCACATTCTGAACCTTATAGTAAAAGATGGATTAAAAAAAATTTTAGGCATTACTGAAAAAGTAATTACATATACTATTCAAAATTAAAAAAAAAATCAATATGCTGATAGCAGTTGATTTTTTTTTGATTTTGACTAGTGGAATTTATTTTGTATAAAATCAATAGTTTATTAGCATTGCTAATAATTACTTATTATGTTAAATTTGTTTAGATTTGTAACTGTGTTAAAGCATTGCACACATCACAAAAATGATATCAAATATTTTTAGATATTTGTGAGTCAGAATCTGAGAGACCTATAATTCTACTATTAGATTTAATACGTGCTAGAACTCCATGTTTCTGATGTTACAATCAGCTGTAAAAGTTATAAATATGATTATTAGAATGAAAGATAGAGATAGAACATTCTCTGACTTATCTAATGAAAATAAATAGAAAAATGCTGAAACTATTTATTATATTTTAAAACCATTTTATGATTGTATATATTATTATAATGCAAATTCTGTCTAATTAAAAAATAAATATCAAATTTTTAGCATGAAGTTATTTTGATATTGTATCTTTTTAAATTAAAAATAGCATAACTATTTTTGAAATGATATTCATTCGATGTATAGTAATGTACTCCTTTTTATTTTTTTAAATAAAATAGATACTTTAAACTAATCTTCAAATTCCTACTCAACTCTTAACAATATACTTGCTTTAGTTTGGAATATTCATATCTATCTTTTAGGTATGAAATTATATTTAGATAGCTTCGTTCGTAATACTAGTCAAACTATGATTGAAAAGTTTAATAAGTATTAGGAGGATAGTAGTTTTCTGCATCTAACTGCTTGTATACTTGATCCTCGCTATAAAATACAATTTATTTCATATTATTATCGTAAAAAAGAAAAACTAGAGTTATGGAATCTTAATGAAAAAATACAAGATATTCAAATGAAGTATGTGTATTGATTAATTTAATTTGTATTTTTTTTTTTAAATTCTAATATGCATTAAAAATTAGTTTTGAAGATTTATATCTTCGTGCTTATTACTCACCACCAACTATTGATCATGAGAATGTTATTAATACTGAAAATGATATATCTATATTTGAAAACCATGCTGATGATTTCTTTGAATATGCAATAAAACAAACTCAAATTAATGAAAAAAATCTATTATGTCAAGTAAAACGATATTTAGATGAACTAATAGCTATAAAAACTACTAATGCACTTGAATAGTGAAAACATAATAAGATTTGTTTTTCTAATTTGGTAGCAATAGCTCAAGATTTTCTTGTGATACCTGTGACAAGCATTCTATCTGAACAAATATTTAGCTGTGCTGGTCATATTATTAATAATAATTGTACTTCATTAGATTCAAATATAGTAGCTACATTAATGTATCAAAGAAATTAGTTAGATGTAGCAAAAAAATTTGGTTGGGATTTATAGATTTTCCAGAATCAAATAGTAGGTTCTACTTTTTTAATTATTATTTAATGTTATAGTATTATGAATAATCTTTTGAATAGTATTTTAAATCTTCTGAAAATAGTAATTCTATTGAACAATATAATTTGAAAAGTATTATCAAAATGGTTATGGAGCTGATAAAGATAAAAACAAGATATTTAAATGGAATTTAAAATCTGTTGAATAGTAATTTTCAATATATAATCTTGAACTTTATTATAGTATTAGAACTATTAAGAATAAAAAAAAGATATTTAGGGTGTTCTCAAACACCTCAATCATAGCTAAATCAATAGATCAGAAATCAATTTTTAATTAGTAAAAAATAGTAAAAAATAATTTTCATTAATTAAAAACTGATTTTTCAATTCATTGATTTAGCTATAATTGAGAACACCCTTAATTAGTATTTTTAATAATTGAAATTTTTTATTTTTTATTTATTGTACTTATTTATTTTTTTTTTATTATTTTTAATATTCTACTTAAACTAGTTCGGCCTAGTTAATTTTTTAAAACCTTTTTACAAACTGTATAGTAATTAGTACAGGAGATTTTGAAACAATTTTTAAATATGAATAAAAAGTCTGCTAATTAACAGTTGCATCCGAATGTCTAAAAGTCAATTATTTTATTTTTTTATGTTTTTAATAATTATAATATTGTATCGTTCTAAATATTTCTTAGCAATTCTATAATAAATAATAGTATTACTAGCTACAAGTATTTATTATTTTAAAAGGCTCACAATAAACAATATTATAGAAATAGTATTTTCAATAGTGTCTTGTCTTATTTCTACTTTTTTAATTTTATGAAATAACTCTGCATTTACTACTGGCCAAATTATGAGTTGTTATCAGGAGTGCCATTTATACTTGTTATTTTTATTAAAGAATTTTATATTTGAAATTTATAAATAGCATACCCAGTAAATACTCATTATTTTATTAGAGTTGGACTGTACTTTGAGATAATAAAAAAAGTGCTATCATTATAGTTTTTTGCATGCAAACTTGCCTGCAATTTGCAGACAAGTTTGCCTGCAAAAAAATCTACAGTTTTAAGGAATATGTTTGAGAATTTAAGCATAAATATTGCTGAAATCAAATTTCAATGTATAAAGTTAATTTCACATTGAATCTTTATTAATTTACCTTTTTTTCATAATCTACAGTTTTAGATAGAGTTGCTTGCTGTAATTGTTTTTAACAGGTTGTAATATTGCAACCTATACAGTATATCGTAACATTGCAACCTATATGTCATAATGGTTAGAATTAATTACAGCAAGCAACTCTTCTAGATATTTGAGTCTTATTACTTTTATTGAATAGTTATCTTTATTAGCTTATAAGATAAATGTTTTTAATATAGGATGTATAAATATTTATATTTATGCAATAATATTTCAAGCCTATGGATAGTTCGGGAGGGTACTCGCAACTTTATGAGCTAGATAAGAACTCCAAGATCTGAGCCCTAGACTAAGAATAAGGCTCAAACAATTAGGCTCTTATACAGATGAGTAGGGCTAGGGTATGCTAGTACCTAGCCCTACTCAGTCTATACAGAGGTCTAGAAGTAGTAATATTCTCATAAAGCTTTAACAGTTATATTTAACTCTTTAGGAGTTGATATTAGTAATATTAGGTTAACTTTTGTAATTAAGTTGGTATCTTTTAGAAGATTTGAGAGGTCTGTGTATTTAAAGTTACAATATGCTAATAGTAACGTACAGAGATGTTATATATAGATGAAATAACTTTTTCAAACATATTGACTTCTTCCTTGTTTTTCAAAGAGAAGGAGAAGTTAGATATTTTCAGATTTGCTAAGTTTTGAGGTAGACATTAGTGAGAGATAATGTAGTCATTTAGTAGTCTAGTAAAAGAGTATTCTATTCTCAGAATTCTAATATGCTCTTTGAAGTCTTCTTGACTTTTAGACAAGAAAGAAAATTTTTCTTTTAATGTGAGTGTTAGATCTTGTGGAGTAGTAGGTAGTGGGCATTTTGGTGCTAACAAATCAAAGTAATTAGGTAGAATTTTTCAGAAACAATAAAATTCTTGTAAGGATTTTTTGTATTTAGATAAGTTTTTTAGATCTGCTCTCTCTATAATAGGAAATATGTTTCATAGTTCTCCTTTTAAGTTCTCATATAAATCAGGTAGTGGTTCTTTGTTATCAAAGATAAAAGAATCAGATATTCTGTTAAATGAGAATATTAGTCGCAGAGTTTTGACTACTAATATAATGATCTGCCTATTAGAGATTAGTAAATCAAAAGGAATAGTATCTAACAAGTATGTTAGGATTAAAGAGGGATTTGCTAGTAAAGGTATCAAAGCTTCATTAATAAGGCCTAAGACTATCTGTCTAATTGTGTCAAAGTCTAGTTGTTATAAAATTTTTGCAAATCCTATTAGATATAAGATATATTTAGTGATTTCTCAAGTATATAATAGATTGAAGTCTATATTAGTTAAGTAATCTAGAGCTAATTTTAATTATAGTAATTCAAATATTTGATTACAATTTTTCTTATTTGTTGCTAGAACATTATGTTGTTTCTTGTATGCTTCTAGAGTATCTATAAACATCTCATTAAATTCTTTTTGATATTGTGGTCTGATTGCAAAGACTCTGATAAAGCTTCTAAAAAAGGCTGTATTATGATAAAAAAATTTTGTAGTGATAGCTTTTGGAATATAATAGATATTTGGTTTCGTAGAGAGCTTATATCTAATAAATTCTTTTAATTCTTAAAGTGAACTTAGTGCACTTTTGATTTTTGTACGTGTCCACAAACTTGGATCAAAGGGTTCTAGTTTTTCTACTCTAATCTGTATGAGGGCCTCTTGTGTATATTTTTTCTATACCTATTCTCTATTATAGTTTAAGTATTTGTTTAATATTTTTTTAAATTTTTTTAGAAGGTCTTTTGAGACTGCTTGACTATAAGACATCTTCTTTTGAGAGTATTCTTCAAGTATTGTATCAGTTAAGTGAGTATCCTCATTATCTGTTAAGTGATTATTTATTTCTGTATTAACTTCTTGTATCATAGTTCCTGACTCAAAAACTAGTTTAGGCATACTTTGTTTATTGTTATTTACATGTAACCTAGAAGTTGATGCAGTAGCATTAGTCGTAGGAGTATTTGGCATCAGATTTAGACTAATTAGAAAGGTATGATTTGTGGAAATATTCTTTTCTGTTTGTTATTACATATCTATATCCTGATTAGTAGTTGTATCTATTAATGATGTTATATTATCAGATTTTGGAGTGAGCTAAATTTTCCTTTTTTTTCAAGATTTTTTTCTTTAAGAGTTGTAATTATAGAAACTGTAGTAATATTATTATCTTTGTTATTATTAGCTTTTCATTTTTTTGTTGTTTGTTTTTCTATGTTACTATCTTCAGTATATGGAAATGTTGTTTCTGTTTTTTTATTTTGAGCACTAGTTAGAACTTTCTCTTTATTTTTGTTATTGGCCTTGGTAGTTATTAACTTAGTTGGCAACAGTATTAAGAGGGTAGTAGGAATATAAGATACTACTTCTCTACTTCATTTAATCTTGGTAGTAGTGTTTGTAAGTCTGTAGTATATTAAAAGTTATATAATTATATAATTAGTTATAGTAGTTAAAAGCTTTATTATAAAATTTTTCTTTCTCATATTTGTTTTGTTTATAAAAATTGATGTACAAGAAA